TAGGTATTTTATCTATCTACAATTTTTAAATCTTAGGGGGAAAAAAGAGTTATTTATGGGAAAGTTTCTGCAAAGCAGGCCAGCTTGAAGATCATAGCCCTGCAAGATGTTATGGTTATCTTGCTATTCTCAGAATCCTTTATCCCTAGGATCCAGTGTCTGAGTTTCAAGGTAAAAACTGATAACTCTGAGCTTTTGCACAGAGTGACCATGGGCTGGTGTTGCCATAGCAACTGGGCAATGTTAACTTGTACTTTTGCACAGGGAGATCCCAGCGCAAGCACACCACCACCACGAGGCAATCAGACACCTGGATCCATATCACCGTTTCCCACACAGGATTATATACTTTTCAAAGTATTTCACACCTGTTACTTCACTTGACCCCCAAGAGCACCATGCAGTAGATGTAATTGTCCCCCATTTTACAAGTTAGGGAACTGAAGCTCAGAGAGGTGAGCTGGTTTTCTCAAGGACATTGCACTGGTAAATGAACCCAGAGTCCTGGGAGTCTAAGTTCAAGATTTCTCTTTTCCATATCTGCTTTCAGGCAGTGCAAGAGGCCCCACATCTCACCTGTTAGCCCTCTCCATGCCTTTGTCTCCATGCCCTTGCTAAGCAATGAGCTGTGAGAGAGCATCCTGCTGCTGCCACCTGTGCTTTAGTGTCACGGTGAGTGTAGGCACCGATGGAAGCCAGAGAAGGGGCTGCCCATGCCCCTGGGGAGGTGGGAGCATCCTGTCCTGAATCAGAAGGATCTTCAGTTTCTCTGGCTTCAACCTTAAGTCTACCCAACAAATGACCTGATAATGTAGCCAGAGACTAACACACAGGACTCTCAATCTCTTGGCCTACCCCTCTTCAAAGTTACCTGCATTCCTTTCCCCCTGGACCTCCTTTCCTCCATCTCCATAGCACTGGTGCGACCTCACCTGTCTGTCTAAGGCCAGACACTCCACCTGACTTCTGGACTCCGCCTCCTGGAGTCCACCCAGTGACTCTTCCCTCCCTCTCAGCTACCCCAGCTTTCCCTCCCCCCTGTCTCTTCCCGATTCATATTTAACCTGGGTGAATTTCTTCTTCTTTAAAGCAATACCATCCACCCTACTTCCTACCTGGACCAAAGCCCTTCACAGCCCAGACACCTGAAGTTGCAACCTTCTCACTGGTGCCATTTCCCCTCCCCCACCAACTCCCAGCACTGGAATCAAGCTTCTGCCACCTTCCTGACCTGG